GCCTAGGACTGGAGTTACGGACAGTTGTTAGCTGCCATGTGGGTGCTGGTATTCAAACCCGGGTTTTCTGCAAGAACAACCAGTGTTCTTAAATGCTGAGCCATCGCTCCAGCCCCAATACTTTGTCATTTTAAAAAGCATGTTAAATGTGTATATAATATATAAAATCATTGAAAAATCTTCTCATTGCATACTCTTAATTTGAATTTTCATACTGACTTCTCAATATTTTTCTATTCAACTTGGTTAAGTAACTTATACTCCTTGAGAACTCACACATTTAAAATAATCTAACTTTTTTTTTTGTCTTTTTGAGACAGGGTTTCCCTGTAGCCCCTGCTGGCCTGGAACTCAGTATGTAGACCAGGCTGGCCTTCAACTCACTATTGTTAATAGTATCCTTGTATTTTATTTAAACTAATGTTTCATCTAAGAATTTACCATGTTTTGTTTTTAAATCCCACAGAGAAAAAAAAACTTTTCCCCTAGAATTTTGAAATTTAGGAGCTGGAACACAGGCAGGCTTACTGTGTCCTGACACAGGGTGCGGTGAGCAAAGGACCTGACTTGAAGGCCCTTGGTGGCCTGTATGCCGAGTGTCTGGACAGCAACTTTAGCCTGTAGAGGATCCTCTCCTGTCTAAGCTCACTTCTCCCATTTCTTTAATGTCAGTGGGACAGATGCAGTGTTCCAGGATAAAGGGCTCCCTGCTTTAAGCTTGTTTCTCTTTTCTCTTTTCTCTTTTTTGGCCTTCTTTCTTCTCTCTCTCTCTCTCTCTCTCTCTCTCTCTCTCTCTTAATTGAACAAGGTCCTGATTTAAACTGATCTTCCTTTTCTTTGTAATACATTTTTATTGTGAAGATTTGCCTTTCCCCCTACTTTTAATTTTTAGTGACTTTGATTTATCTGTTCTTCTAGAATGTTTGTATTTATTTTATCTGTCCCAAGATTTACTTTTCTCTGAGAGGGTCACAGATTCCTTTAAAAGTTTCATAAACTCTGCAGGCATTAACTTAATGACGCAAGTTAATGTCTGGCATGTAGTGTAACTTTTTGGTTCCTTGTTGAGGAAGTTCTCTTGGAAAAGGATGGTTGGTTTAAATCCCTCTGTGAAGGCCATAGTCTGTCCTCCACTGCAGTTTCCTCGCTGTGGACATTCTCATACTGTTCAAAGATCTCAGTGAATGGATGAGACCCACTGTTGAAGTTTGACTAAACTTTCACAACTTTACATACCACCCCCCACAATCTTTGGAGCTACCAAGTGCTTTGTAATCAGTTTTAACTGCAAGTCAACCAAATGATGTTGGCCCTCTGACCAGTGAGTGGCCCATCAAGTCATTAAGTACCTTTTTTTTCTTTTGTATTGTTGTATTTTGCTTTTAGAGACAACTTAGCATTGGCCAACCTTGAACTAATCATAATACTCCTCTCTCAGCCTTCTGAGTCTGATTACAAGCATAGGCTGCTATGAAAAGCCAAGAATCCAATTTATAATTATGAAGTTACTTGAGGAGCCCTAAGTAAATTAAGATTAAGAAATGACTTTGAGGAGCTAGAGAGATGGCTCAGCAGTTAAGAACACTGGCTGTTCTTGCAGAAGACCCAGGTTCAAATCCCAGCACACACATGGCAGCTAACAACTGTCTTTAACTCCAGTTCCAGGGGATCTGAGAGCCTCTTCTGTCCTGCTTGGGCATTGCATGACACAGTACTCCTACCTACATGCAGGCAATACATGCATACACATAAAATGAAAAGAATAAATAAAATATTTTAAAAAATGACTTTGAGAATGCTGGAAATGGATCAGTCAGTAACACATTAGCATTTGAAGCACGAGGTCCTGAGTTCTACTCCCAGAAACTGTGAACAAAAGCCAGACATGATGGGGTGTGCTTGGGTGTGCTTGGAATCCCATCTCTTGGAAGGTGGAGACAGACAGCTCCACGGAGTTCACTGGCCCCTTGTAGCCTGATGGTTAAGTTAGAGATTCAGTGAGAGACCTTGTCTCAAAATATAAGGTAGATGACACCTGAGCAATGATGTCAGAGGTTGGCTGTGGACATTACATACATCTTATGCTCCTGCACACAGAAGAGCATGTGCACACACACGGATGCTTTTGAGATGAAGTAGGAGATTTATTTGAAAGTTTAAATTTTTTAAAAAAAAAAAACTTCACATTAAGGAAAGAAAGTTTTAGGAGACCAGCAACTTTAGATTTGTAATAAACTCATCTCCACATTCTGAATTATGCTATTGGAGTGAGTGAGTGATGAACAGAATACAAAAAGAGCCAATGAATAACTCAGGGGAAATTTGTCTCATCATCAGCAAATGTGGAAATGGTTTGTAGTTCTTTTGACACTTGGCTTTCCTCTTGTTGGCCATTGTAAGTGAAATCACCAAAGCAGTGCTGTTCAGAAGGTAGCTGCAGGAAAATTTAAATCACATTTACAATAGGACCAGTAATTAGTAATATGAAAACCTGAGAATTTAGAATTTGAAATGAACCTAGACCTCATCATTATCCACAGATATGCCGTATCTCTTTCATTTGGACCCACCTAAAAGCTTTTGTTGCATTAGTGAATATGTTATAGCTTGACATTGAGATTCCTTTAATGATAGTTTCATTATAATTTTTATTTATTTTCTTTAGGCTTTTACTAGGCCTTATCATATACATCTAAATCTAGCACATCTCTTTCAGACCTAGGCTAAGTGTAGTGAGACATGGAAGTTGGATCTGTATATGACATTACAGCACCCTCCCCCTCTGTGGGATTAATGTACAAGTTGCACGTACATATGTTGCTGATCCGAGGGATCATTACTATGACAGTATTCTATAAAATTTGATGCTCTTTAAAGAAGCTCAGATAAGACCAGAAAGTATTCGTAGACACTGTGTGTAATGGCCCTACCTGTCATTCGTGGTTCTCTCCATTTATTTATTTATTTCTAATATTTTATTTATTATTTTTATTGTATGTATATGAGTGTGTTCCTTGCATGTGTGTAAGTGTGCCTGTGTTGTGCAATGCCTACAGAGGTCAGAAGGAGGAGTCGGATTCCTATGGAACTAGATGGTTGTTAGCCACCATGTGGGTGCTGGGAACTGAACCTGGGTCCTCTGCAAGAGTAGCCAATGATCTTAACTACTGAGCCATCTCTCCAGCCTCATTCTTTAATTTCTTCCTCCAAACTTTTAACGTTTTCCTTACAGAGGCCTGCCATGTCATGGCTAGCTTCATATCCAGGTTTCTCGTTTAGACTACTTTGAACGGTATCGTTGGGGGTGGCTTTCCTGAGTTCTATCTCAGCTTGTTTGTTTTGTGAATATAGGAAGACTACTTATGCTTGTTTGCTAATTTTGTATCCTAGCACTTTGCTGAAAGAGTTTATCAAATATAAGAATCATCTGGAATCTTTTAGTCTCTTATGCATAGAATCATATCATTTGCAAATAGGGCTATGCAGACATCCTTTCCTGTTTGAGTCCCTTTTGTTTCCTTCTCTTGTCTTATTGCTTTAGCTAAGAATTCAAATACTACATCATATAAAGTGGAGAAAGCTAAGAATTCAAGTACCACATCGGATAAAGTGGAGAAAGCTAAGAATTCAAGTACTACATCGGATAAAGCGGGGAAAGTGGTCACCTTCTTTTGTTCCTGGTTTTACTCGCCATGCTTTGCATTTTATCACATTTAGCTTTATCACTTTTAATACGCCGTCAGCTGCGAGCCTGTCACATGTAGTGTTTATGTTCAGGTGCATCCTTCTACTTTATTCTCTGAGGCTTTTATGGTGATGCTTCTCTCAGTCCATATCTACTGCTGAGTCACTGTAGTAGCATCTGTTGCTGTACTCTGATTGCAGAATTTCTATTTGGTTCTGTTTTCACATTTGACTGTTTTGAGTTCTCTAACGGAATAAGGACCGTCATTGCACCTACCCAGGGCTTCCTTTAGAAGCACCTCAGGCCTCCATGAGGTCTGTTTCATGTGTCACCTGGCTTCTCTGGGGTGGGCCTGTGCTGCTGTTCTCCTCCAGCCTAGTTTATATTCAGGCTTCCTCCCTACCCTGGGCAAAAACCGAACATTTCAACATTTCATTACACATTGTGACAGCCAGGGTTCCACACCACACTGGGATTTAGTCTTGTTCATTTAATGACTTTTCTGAATGGTTTAGCTAAATCTATTCCTGTGAGCTGAGAAGCTTTCTCATTCCATGTGCTTGGCCGCACGACTTCCACTTTTAGTAGTAGCTGTGGACTTGAACACCTCTTGTTTTCACCTCGGAAAGGGATTGCGCTTTGTGAGATCCAGGTGCCGTTTGCGTTCATCCCTGGAAACCCTTTGCACCCTCACTGCAGAGCGGGGGAGGGGGGAACAGCCACCTTTCTCAAAGCAGTGGCTGTGAGCTGGTTCACGTCGTGGCGTCCCTGACGCCATGTGAGCTGGTTAGAGTGGTCTGATCAGTGCTCTGTACTGAGGTCCCTGGGTCAGTCGCTCCCTGAGTGTAGGAAGGAGGTGCGAAGGAGACGTCCAGCCCTTAGAGCCGTTCTCACTGCCGCAGTGCTGGGCAGAGAAGCTGCAGCCCTGCGTGGATCCTTGTGGGAGAGGCAGCGTCTTCGAGGCCGCACCTACTGTGTGCTGAGCTTATTTCTTATAGAACTGGGTTGTGGAAGACAGGGAGGAAGTAGTGGTTTACATAGTACTGATCCTCACTGTGGAGACCTTGATTTCCGGAATCAATGTTTGCTTTGTTGTGTGCACTTTGAACATTTCCAGAGGTCTCTAACGTTTAGTTTTCTCTGGCTGTGTCTCACCGCACATGCACAGAACACTTCATGTCGCTAATCCAGAATTCATCTCCCCGTATAAGCCCACCCGGATTTCTGGACCGACTTCCACTCAGTGGCTTTCTGTCCCTGCTTCACACGCCAGGTGTGAACCTGCCGGGCCCAACGTCTGCCTGGCCTCCTGCAGGATGCGTCCCTGAGCCGGGAGGGTACATCATCACAGTACTGCTCAGAGTCAGCCACCACCCAAGCAGTGCCCTCGGGGTGCGTCCCGGCTGTCTTCATCATCTACGGCTCTGAGCTCCCAGGGGTCTTCCCTTCTCGGGAAGCACATCTCCGGCATCTGCAAAATATACCTTTTCCATGAAATGAAAAACCAACGATTTTCCTTCCTTTTGACAGTTGGTGACCATGAGAGGTTACACCCAACCTTTCCCTGGTGGATGACCTTGTCCATGGAGCTGCCCTGCTCATCATGGAAAGCGAGGCTGGTGAGGAGTAGCTGCTCCTGGTCTCCTGGTCTCCGTGTTCTCGGCTCGGCTGTGGCCTCCTCGGTAGGAGCCGAGTCTTGACAGAGAAGCCGGAGGGAATGGCCTGGCTTCTGTTTAAGCCATTACCAGCTTTGCTGTCCTGCTGTACCTGACCCTAAGTAACTGGTAGATGGCCAGTAAAGCCTTCCGGAGGAGGGAGGAAATAGAGCCCACTTAAGACGTTTGAGATGTAGTGCTACTTTCTTTGGATTGCTTTCTTTCATTCCTGTTCTTCATACCAACACCTTTTCTACCATGTTAATCTGCTTATATACGTTACTGATTTTGTTAGCTCACTTCCATGACATTGGTGTGTCTTATTTTCATATTTTTATGAAGGTTGTTAGTTGTTTAATAAAAGCACACTGTGGAAGTTTGTCTAATCACCTCTTCTAGGCTATTTGTATGATTACATACTCTTTGTCCCACCATTTGTCGATGTGATATATATTGCAAGAATGGCCAGAGTAGTTTTATTCCTTGATGATATTACTGGTATATTTTCACTATATAGAGCATTTATCATTGTGAACAAGGGCGGGATTGGCCTATGTTTTCCTTCTAATTGCCAAGCTAGACCAAACAGGAACTCTAGCACAATATTGATTCGGTTTGGTAAGAGGGAATATTCTGTCCATTGTTTGTGGTCTTAAAAAAAAATAGTATCTTACCACTAAATAGGATGTTACCTTTTGTATAACATTTATCAGATAATATTTTGGAGCTATTTCATTAGAATAATAAACTTAGAAGTGACCTCACCTATCTCATGCCCATTTGCTGTGGCTATCAGAAATTTTATAGCTCTTTTGTGGATTACGTTGTGTACAACATTCCTGTTCAGTGTACTTTCCTTTGTGTTGTGATGTAGGACAAATGTGATTATTGTGGTCCAGTGATGCTCATAATGTAGTGCAAAGCTACTTCCCCAGGGAGGACATAAGGTTTCCCATTGATCCTACACATGGCTGTTGATGATCTAATCCTGTTTACAGTAGTACGTAGTCAGGCGGAAGGACAGAGTGTTTGGATTCATAGCGGCTTTGATCTCTCAGCACTTTCTCATCACTTAATGAAATTTGATGAAATGTCCTGAGTTCCTGAATGGAACCAAGGTAGCAGGAACATTAGATCAGATTTATTGCTGAGTGCTAAGGTACCACAGTTGTTAAGTTCTTTCACTTCTTTAATCAGAACAGCTATTAATAGCCGTTTCTCCCTCCTTTATATCCAGCCCTGTTTTTTCATATAAAAAACCTCAGCAGAAAGTTATTAGGGTGTTTGAAACCAAATGGATTTACATAGGCCGTGAAGACAAATTCCTGGAGGATATCTTTGTCAGGTCTGAAACGAATTTAAAAGGAAAACTCGCACATTGGAAACAAGTAAGTCTAGTTACCTTAAAGGATTTAATGTACAATAGTAGATCTATAAATGATATCTCGTTAATAAAATACCTTCAGTCTACATCAAGGACCTTTCATTATATTAAGATTTTGCTTTAGATTTTTTTCATTGTCAAAAAAATTGTGTAATTATTATTACCTTATTATATACCCTATTAATTTGACATTACTTTTAAAATATACGCATTGTATATTCAGGAATTTCTTTTATGAGTTATCTGAGTAACAATAGTCATATAAAATTTCTCAGTTGGACCATGAAATCCTAAGCTTATTAAAGACTGATAATTTTTATTTTATGTGTGTTATAATGTTAATTCAATGTTTTCTGATACATCAGAACTTGTTTTATGAAAACATGGAGACAGATGGAAGCAAAGTTATCTGGGTTGACCAGCTGCTCTGTACCAGGCACTCTGCCGGACATTTTGGTTATTGTTTGCGTTTTCTCTCCCTGGGATAGGGGCTCCTGTCTGCTTTCTATGAACAGGGGAACTAGGCCCAGCGATGTTAACTGGCTTCTCAGCAGTGACAGTTAAGTCCCGTAGCCAGCTTTGGATTCAGGTATTTGCACTCAGAGCTGTGCACTCTGTGTCTTTAGAGTTTTCTTTTTGTTGGATGCTAAGTAATGCCAGAGATGAGGGCTCAGCACATCGTAGCAGTCACTGTGACAAAGAGTTTTTAAACTAAATTTGTTCTGATTGATTTTTATTTTATGTGTATGTGTGCTTTTCCTCCATGTATGGAAGTATACCTGTGCAGGCGATCCCCGTGGAAGCAAGAAGAGGGCGTTGGATCCCCTGAAACTAGAGTTTCAGAAGGTTGTTAGTGCCATGTGGGTCCCAGGAACCAAACCTGAGTCCTCTGCACGAGCAGCCAGTGCTCTGAGCTGCCATCTCTCCAGCTCCATGTGATAAACATTTTGTAACTTCTGAAGAACTCTGTGTCAGCTCCACTAACTGTTCTTGCAACCCTGAACCCTGTGAGCGTGTTGACAAGGTGTAGGGAAGACCTGACTACCACTGCTGTGACTTCCTGTTTACTGAATACAGCACAGACGCATCCTCCCATCCTCAAATTTCAGTTATGCCTTGCATAAAATCAAAGTTTTAAAGGCAATTGTATCCTTCTCCAGCAAGTTCCCTTCAGAAATCAGTGCGGTGAGGGCCTGTGTGCTCCACAGGGCACGGTGCTACAAAAGTTAGGTCTCATACACAGCTTCTTTTGTAGAAAGGACTCATACTGTAGAGCTGCCACCTGAGCGTTTTCTGTTTATATAGAGATTTCTGTTAGTGCTGTAAACTGACAGACAGACGACTGACTAGATGCTGGTCACGGGCTTCTATGTATTGATAACCAATCTGTATGTGATGAAATGTATAAGTATGCGTATTAACTTATAAATGATTATTATACATGTGTATATATGCTTTATGCCTGATTTTTTTAAAGAATATAAGGTATTTGGAATGCAATGAAGGTTTTCTAAATTTCTTTCTTATTTTAATAATTCTGCTAACCATCACTGTGGATATCCGTCCTCCAGAGTCTATGATTATGCATTGTCTGATGCCTTTCCTGGTACATAGCTACCAACTCAGAACACCGTGGAAGTTAGCTTTTATTTTTTAGTTCAGTTTTTATTTCAGCTCAGATTTTAAAGTAGTTTTCATTGCTTTTTGTCAGATTCATTTTTGAAGCGTTCTTCCTTGTTCTGTTTAGAATTGGCCTCTAATCTTTCCTGACTTAAGTTCTGGCCTCCTGTGCAGCTCAATTACACTATCTATCATCTATCTATCTATCTATCTATCTATCTATCTATCTATCTATGTATCATCTATCATCTATCTATCATATTTTATTGTGCCACTTACCGATCTAGTTCATGTTGCCATGGAGTTTGGTTTATTATAAATTACAGTAATTAAAATTGCCTCAGCGAGTACATGAGAGAAACCAGGATCTAAAGGACAAGACCAGATAAAGGAAGAGAGCCAGGGAGACAAATCCCACATCAGATGCAGGGAGTTCAGTTTTAAAATGCTGTTGAGTGAAACAATGCACCAAGCAGAATGCAGTTCAAAGCTCGGTAATTCCAGGAAGTGATCTGTGTCGGAATCAGATCCTATTTGGGGCTGGTAAATTCTTGACCCAAAAGGTAAAAAACGTATCATATCTTGGGTAACACAAAGTGGAAAAAGTCAGAGGAGTGGTTCAAATTATGTTCACTTAGGATATGTGTAATAAGTATCCAGAGTTTGTATAGAGAGAACAGAAAATGCCATATAGAACAAAACTCCAGGCCTCACAGGAAGGCATCCTACAAAATCAACAACTCAAATGATACAAATCCTAAAGCCTGAAGAGAATCAAGAGCTGAGGATGGGGCAGAGTGGAGTCACCAACACCTGGCCTGGCAGGCATCACTGAGGGAGTCACTGGAATTTGCAGATTAGGCAGCATAAATATAGGAATTCACTGTGATTCAGTACATTTTTATGGAAATTTAGGCACCATTCTGGCAGATTTTAGGGAAATCTGGTACTATTATGAAGGAGTTTTCTGGGGCATTTAAGACTTTTAAAATATTCTTTGGCACAGACAATCTTTATTTTCTCAGAGGTTACTGAAAAAAAAAACCTACGTGGTAGGTGTAAAAGCAGAGCTAGAGCTTCCTCCCCTGGGCTTTGTCGTCAAGTTCCTGTGAAGTTACAGTAAAAGAAGTTTGACTATTAGATGTTTTCTCCATCGTTTGTGTGTGTGTGTGTGTGTGTGTGTGTGTGTGTGTGTGTGTGTATCATACTTTGAGGACATGGGTGGCTTTTTGACTTATGTTTTAAAGTATGGATTTCACAGGTACTCTACAGTAAGAGAAAGCCATAGTAACTGGGTGAAAGGAAAGAGATTCTGCAGGGAGGGTGAACATTCTGTGCTCCTCTAACCATCGGTCCCCTGCCCCAAAGCAGGGCCATCCCCAGGCTGGCTCGGGGTCTGTTAAGATGAAGCCTCAGCTGGGTGAGAACCTGCTGGCTAGAGGCTCACTGCTTCACCCTCATGTGCACAAAGGGAGCCAAGTCCAAGTGCTATGCATTGCTCTAGTCCACAGCCTGCCAGCCATGGTCCAGTCTGAAAGCTCGATGGACCCTCCTTCCTTGCACTGTGAGGAGTGGGCTCTTTCCCAAGGTTCTCACTTTCCTTCTGCAGGGGGTGACAGTTTTCCCTAGCTCTTTACACAAATACCACTGTTGCATGAGATAGTGTTACTCTCTGAGAACGACTTTCATTGCAGCCTTCATGATCTTATCTTCTTGGTACTGTGTAGGTAACACGATGCCTGACATAGTCTAAGGTGGCCATCAGCCATAAAAAGTGAAATTACTGGTTTAATTTTGCTTTAGAATACTTTTATTGAGTTTGTTTTCCATCCAGAAGTTAATTTTTTTCTATTAATAAAACTAATAAACCTATATTCATGTCATATGTCATTTTACTTGAACAAAGCAAAATGTTATTACATATAAAATTCTCTATGAGTCTCTGAATTAATTATCATTAAATGGATTCTCCTAAAGGTTTATATGTTAATGTTTGTTTTATTAACTTGAGGAACTATTCATATATTAAAACTGGTTCAACAGGACCCTGCTTCAAAAAGACAAAAAAAATTGGTTCAACAGATAAACAACTTTTATTGCATCACATATGCATGAATATGTTAAGATGCTTAAAAAGTTGTTAATAGATTACTAAAATGGAATTTACATGATTATTACCTTATGCATTCTTTTTACAAACAAATGCATTTTTCTTTTAAAAATATTTTATTATTTTAATTTTTCTTTTTTATTGATTTTTTTGTGTATTTCATACAGAACAGCTCAAACAATCTTAATCATCTTTATAATCCCCTTCCCACTGGCACCTACCCCCCCACTGGAGCCTATATACACTGTCATCCCTGTTAAGGCCTATTGGGTTGTCAGTGTCCCCAGCTGTTCCCCAGCCCAAGTCCATCCACTAAGTCTAGTCAGCATATCTAGAGTCCCTTGTTTTAGGAAGATCAAGTCTTCCTCATCTAGCAGCAATCAGTTGCCAACATTCCTTTAGATAAGATTGAGATCTGCTGTTTCCCAGTTCTATGCTGGATTTTTGTCTGCCTGAGTTGGCATGGGACTTGTGTATGCTGACACCATTGCCGTAGAATCATATGAGCAGGGTCCCAGGAGCTTGTAAGACTGTTTCCATATGGTCATGCACCTCCTCCCTGGCTCTTACAATCTTTCCACCTCCTCTTCTGAGATGGTCGCTGAGCCTTTGGTAGGTGAGGTCTAATAAAGGGATTCTGTCCAAGGACCAGTGTTCAGCAGACTCTTGATCTCTACACTTTGGCTCTTTGTGACCTTTTGTGTTCCTGGCCCTCCGCTGCATGAGGAAGTTTCATTATTGAGAACTGAGAGATCCATTAGTGTCCTCTTCAGTACCCCTGTTCTATGGTCCATGAGCCTTAGGTGTAGAGGTTGCATTGCAGGTGTGTCCCTTAGGCCTGGGCAATTCATAGACAATGTCCATGTGTGATCAATTGTGGTACTTAGTAATAGTCTCTGAAATGAGTGGCTTTGATGATGGTGACTGGGATATAAGGATATATAAATATAAGGATACATATTTTGCACATAGTAATGAATCACATTCGTCTAGTGAGGTGACAGTCTTGGGTTTTTTTTCCAAGATCTATGGCCACTCAGCCATGTGTATTAGGTTATGTTTATATTACCACACTTGATTTCCTCCCTTTGAGTGGGTGTTTAGTCAAATTAGGTGGTTGTTGATTGCCCCCAAGATAAAAGTGCCCACTACTGCACCAATGTCCTATGCTGTGCTGGCCGTTGATGTGGTTATTTGGTCTTGAAGCTGGTGTTGGATCATCCATTGGTGTTTTCCCTTGGCACCTTCATAGCGCTCTCCAAAGCTGTGAGAGC